GCAACAACCCAGAAGACAGAAATCTTCATACTCATCGCCCTGATGATGGAGGCAGTATGACCTCTGAAACGTTGGTAAACATCGACCAGACTACAAAGCGCAACAACCCAGAAGACAGAAATCTTCATACTCAATGTTATGAAAACCTCAAATCTTACAATATGCAGGAAAGTGGATGGTTCAGAATATATAAAAATCCTAAACCAATCTGACTTCACAATCAGATGTTTATTTAAAAAGTGATAAATACAACAAAGCTTGACAAATTTTTGATCACGTATCATATGAAAAAGCTAAAATAAGGCAGAAAACATATTTTGTCATTCAGATACACAAAACACACAGACACCTAACGATGCTGATGACTAGTTTAATAAGCACATTGCGTTATTCACAGTTCTGAGTGAAAACGCAATGAAGTTCACGGTAATTATGCACATTTCAATAGTCCAGTTCTGTTATTACAGGTCTCTTTACAAATGTATTTTATGGAAAGAAGATCATGGCATAAAATATTTCCTTTATTAATATCTAATTTAGTTTAATGTACATTTAGTGAGGTACGTTTAATTGCATTTACAGCTTCGTGTAAAGTAGCACATTTGAAGCCAATGAAACGGAAGCCAACGGATTACTGGAAAATTTAGAAACGGGCTTACACGATGTGGGTACATTAGAAGGACGAAAATGCACGAACTCCTAAAAGAGTTCTGAATACGGAAACTGGAAAAAGATCACTTGGACATCCAAGTGAAGACAGTTTCAAGTACAAAGTTTATGCAAAAGTTGAGCCATGTTACATGGCCCTTACTAAGGTAGAAGCAAGCACAGAGGGCAGTAATACATAATGTTCTACAAACAAATGGAAAATCGGTGACCGATCAATCTCGGGGAGGTGTCCGTTCTGCCAAGACAGAACTGTATGGTGCCCGCAGAAGACGAGAGGTTCCCTGAAACTCCATTCAATGGAATTATCTATGAGATTCCATAACTTGGGTAGGAATTGCACGTTTATTGACACTGCTCTGAACTAAATTTATTAACATTTCTGGAAAGGTTTCTCCGCTACTTGACCTCCATCATCATACAAATACATGGCATGGGGGCAGAAGAGACTTGATATATAACAACAAAATGAAAGTTTGTAGTAACTGCCTTGTCAGTCAATTTGGAATATTTTCTATACTTCTTACAGTTTACGTTTTTCACCAACTTCATCAAAAGCTAAGATCTGATAATTCTGAACTGACTTTTTCACAGTAACGTCACAGGAGAAATATGCTACGAGCTTTAATGCGTTCGCGGTGCTTACAGACTTACGCCTCTCTATATGTTCCTCTAGTATGCTATTATAGTATGATTTTCAAAATATATTTGTAGGGCAGTAATACCAACACTTTTTATATTCCTGAAAGGAACGTCTGTATCTTTTATGGTGCTGTAAAGTAGAACGCATATCTGTACATTCTTATTTTATAATACTGCAGAAATGGCAGATTTTTATAACCCTGAGGGTGTAAATTCTACATGAAACAGATTTGCTTATGAACTGACAACATCTTTTACGGTAATAACACAAACCGATTCAAGAATTAAATTACTAAAACAAGTGATCCAATACTTATAAATCAAAGACTTGTACTACAAGTGTTGAGATATGGAGATTAGTTCATCAGCCTACATATTTTTCTTATGCATACATAAGTGTATTAAGATCACGGTCACGATTTTGGCTACGTCATACGCAGAGTATATTCTGCATTCAACCCCACTTCCACTCATATGAATGTTAACTAGCAGCATTAAAAATATTAAGCAAATAAAACTATATAAATATCAATAAATATGTCATGTTCACTCTACTTTATAAAACAGCAACTTCTTTTATAAAACACAGTAAGTAATGCATGCACGTTATTCTCAAACACGTAAAGGCTCACCTCGCCAGCTTATCGATTGATACGTGACAACCTCTCCACATTGTTTACTGTTATCAGAGGCATCAAACGACCGGTGAAACGAACGTAATTTCTCTCTAGTTCACGCTGATAGTCCCTCTGATCTGGACCAATCAAATTTTTATTTTTTCTCAATGCATCTGCACATCTGTAAAGGAGAAACACACACATATATATATAACAACAAATATGTATTTTGTAACATATACATGTCTGTTTCACATGAAGTCGAAACTTTTCAGAGCTGCGCTCAGGACACACACACACACACACAAAGTACAAAAAAAATTATCCACAGACAGACTTTTGAGGTTGAGAAGTTATTCTAATATGTAATATTATTACTTTTTTGAGAAATCCTTGAAACATAGCCGCAGCTTGTTCTGTAGTTTGGTTGCAGATTTTTGGCTATCAAGTAATTCTGAAAGGAACACTACAGCAATCTCCATTGGTCCTTGATTCACAGTCGTACCTGCACAAGAAAAGAAACACCACGATTATTACTTTGTAGGATTTGAGGTTTTCATGGCGGTGAGTCTGAAGATGGCTGTCTTCTGGGTTGTTGCGCCGTGTAGTCTGGTAGAAGTTTACCGGCGTTTCAGAGGTCCTTCTATTTAGTGCCCTAATGAAGGCACCAAGAACCTCTGAAACATCAATAAACTTCTACCAGACTACACGGCGCAACAACCCAGATGACAGCCATCTTCAATTATTACTTTCCTTACTACATTTGTTCATCTTTCAGTGAATTTTTACAAAATTCTCTTAAAAGTCTCCTGTAAAAACTGATTTAGGGGATGAATCAAACTGTGACAAGGTGACTTCCTTTAACCTGAATCTAGCCAAATGTAAGGTCTGAGTTAATGTACTCACGTCGTAGTACTGTAACGCCAGGTGGTCAGACCTACTGCGCACCTGAGAAGCAGCAATACATCAATGGAACCACTGTCACAAATTCCACATGACCTTCTATGGGACTGAGCCCACGACTCAGTTGGGAAGAAAGCGTCTAACCACGTGACTTGGGATGCATCATACAGAGACATACACACACATAACGCGAGAATATACGAGGAAACAGCCCTGCTTCTTTGGTCCCTGCATTTCAGTAGGTTTGTTATATAAAGTGGTTAATGTGCTGAAATAATATTTAATTTTAAAAATTTAATATTGACAGACTACAACTGGGGTAATCTGAAGTTGCAAGAGAAAATACTGTATCTTGAATACGAACGAGTAAAGACTGTCCTCAGATAAATGATGTTATGTGTATCCATGAACCCCGACTACGGCGACAGACGGTCCGTCGTCATTCCACCAAACACCAACTCCCACTCCTATTTAACCCAGGCTTCCACACAGTATTTTATATGCATTTTGGGTGCTTACAAGACTTATCATAATCATCTAGCAGTCACGGACCTATTCCAGTCTTCCCATCCAAAAGCCTCTTTAAAAGATCATCCCGGGGTTTGTTAATCCACATGGTTTGTAATTTTTTAATACTTTAGAAAGTCTGTCTGTCTGCACTCTGTCAAACATGTTAGATGCAACTACTTCCATTTTTCAAAATGTTGTAAAAAAAGGAATTCTATTTTTAATTCTTTAAATATCTTCTGTTTAGTTTACAGTTCATCCAAGCACATTTCTCTGTTATTCTCATGAATTTCACTTCAGTCGCTGTACCTGTGGTCTTGTTTGCTTTCACTGCCCAGTTTTCAGAGGTGCTTCTTAAATGTTGGCGAACTTACATCTTCAAAAGTAGTCACACTGTGTTAACCCTCTGAAGCCAAAACTCATCTAAATAATAATTACGAATTCAGTCCATACCACAAATAAATCGCAACACTCACCATTACGAAGATCGACTGCTTAACGCCTTTTTAGGAAATCATCAGTTTATTGTGAGAATCATATAAAACCCATAACTACAAAATCCAGAGCTGATGACTATTAAAGCTGGTGGTACACACAGTTACCAATAAGGTTAGTAGGTTCGAACAGTTCCTACCTATACAACCCTGAAGAACCATCTGAAGAATCTTGGGATCAGGTGGCTCCTGCTGCGTCGCTTGTGAAAGTTCCATCGTCTTCTTTTGCATGTCTTCGATTGCAACCTCAATGGGAGTCAGGACAATCTGCATATACACATATATTTATAAAGAAAAACATTCTGTCAATATACATTTCAGGCAAAATTAGTACAAGAAAATATGATTTAAAGTCATGCCCAGATGTTAAGAATGAGGTAATATTCCAAAATACATTTAAACATTTAAAATGAGAACAATAAATTAAATTTTGGTACAATAAGCATCTTTCTATATTAACAGTTTAAACAAGACAGGTTTTCTGTATAATAAACCGCCATAAATATACAGAAAACATTTAAATTTATACATATTTAAATGATACCTGATATTTTTGAGAAGAGTACTATTCTAAAACATAAGTTTCACTTATAAATTTTATCTAAACCAATATTAACAATATTTTAGTTTGATTACTTAATATACCGATTCACACGAAATGAACATGTTCATTTAACGTGATCGAACTTCAGAGTACTCAGTCTCGATATCACTTACTTGCTGTGCCGTATGTTCCACCTGTCGATTAAACCTCGAAGGAAACCAGTGAAACGAATACTCTTTATGTTACGATCTTAAAGGACACTTTTTTAATGTTAAGAAATTAAATAAGTACAGCACTGAAACACAATAATACTGTGTCTCATTTGTGTCGAGGCACACAGTTCAAAACTGAGCATTTGCCACGCCACTCATCCGGCCCACACCTGACTTCGACAGTGTAAAACTAAACAACTTCGGCATGTGGTTATAAATGGTCATTTGTTATACAGATCCTGCTTAAACCTTACACACATTTTGTTAGTAACTTCACCAATGTAAGTACTAGAAATAATAGTATTAGTTAACAACTGAAGAAGAAAGGGGTCAATGCAAGAAATGGAATGAACACGTTTCAAAATCACAGATACATTTCATGAGTTTTACTGCTTTACCTGTTTCCTGTCAATTACTTGTATTCTGGTTTTCACATAAGGAAAATGATTGGCCGTGGTAAGTATGGTCTTCCTTTTGTATTGTTCATGTAATTCTCCATGTGCTCGGCCTCCAGGCGTGAACGGAGTGGCGTACACAAACCTCTCTGTCGGACAGATAAAAGGAGCTTATATTATATAATTTCAGGATATTACTACGATTCTCTATTCCTTCAATAATAAAATTTAATTCTTTTACAACAAGAACTCAGCTAGAATATTTCTGACGGTCTGAGTTTCCGGGTAACATGAGTGATTTGGTGGGGGGAGGGGGAGAAGCAAAGCGTAAAGCAAATAATACATTCCTACATACTGTATATCAAGCATGTCAAACTCAAAGGCTAACACGGGCCAAATAAACAAGGTTTAAGTTTATGTGGGCCGCAAAAAAAAACAAAAACTTCAATTTTCATAGAAACGTAGGTTTATTTCGAAAAGTATAGTATAAAAAAAGGAACAAGAACAACGATAAAATTAATGTTTTCTTCCTGACACTTGGCATCTCTTCTCTGCTACTATCTTTCCTACTTCGGGGGAAATCTTGTTCGCAGTGATTATTTTCAAAACTGATCCAAGGTGAATGTCAGTAATTCTGGATCTGACAGGAGACTTATTTCCTTTCATAATTGTAAATAACTGCTCACACCGATAAGTACTTCCAAAGATGGAAATAATTTCATATGCGAATTTTCAAGTATTTTCAAACCTGGCAGGTAAATATTTGTAAAATCCAAGCACGCCAACTTCACTGAATTTTGCCTTCAAATTAAGTTACGAAATTTTTATTAAAACGTTTCTTACATATCGTTATATTGGCTGGGCCGCAAAAATATTCGTTGTGGGCCGCGAGTTTGACATGCTTGCTGTATAATAACGATACATTTCGTACAGATCGATGGATTCCTGCAGTAGTTCGTGGCGTCCCTTTTTCTGATAAATTGGTCATCAGTTTTACTAGAACAGCGACTTTTATGACTCCGCGATCTAAATCCTGCAAGCATTCCTTCATGAAATTTCAGATTTATGAATACTGATTACTCAAAACAGTGAGCTGTTCATCTATATATATGCATTTCAGATTTCAGGGACTTAGTGAATCGAAACTAGGAAACTCAAATCTGACTCTTTGCAGGAACACTACATGGATGCACAACTATGTCACTAGTACGAGCATAGAATACATTACAAGCAGATATTCTTGCGTTATTAAGTTTATGAACATATGGCAGAATATAATTTTTTTGGCTGATTTAATCAAGAAGGTCTAGATCAACAAGATGAGTAATACGGATGGAAGAGCAGAATGTGCTTATACGATTGTGGTTCAAAAACCTGGTGGACGCAGAATACAGTGGATTCTGATTAATTAGGATACATCAAGACTAGAACATGTCGGCCCACTTAAGCGACTGCCGCAATTATGCGAAGTTCCACGTAAAGAGTTTAAAAAGTTTGTTCTTTAAGATTTGTCCCAAATAAACGACTGTCCTGATTAACTGATGGCCCAATTAACCGGAATCTGCTGTACTTGGATGCCTGAAAATTAGCAGGTAGGATGATACTGAAATGAGCATCAGAGATGTGGGTTGTAAGTAAACGTATTTAAACTGATTCAGGGCAGGGTTGAATGGTAGGTTTTAGAGGACACTGACGGATCTTTCCTTTTCATATCAAAAGGGAACGCACTGAGCAGCTAAAACATCTGTTAAGTACAGAGGAAATATGGAACAGCAAGGAATTAGTAGAGTACTGTGGTGAATCAGTGAAAAACTTCTGCTTTAAAAATCAAATGAACTACATGTCTAAATTGACAAATGAAAATAACCACATTTGAAACAAAACTGAAATGAAACACAAGGATGTATACTGTCCACATAAAATCCAGCATATTAGTTCAAGGTTAAATACAAAGCTTGACCAGTTATGTACAGTAAAGTACAAAAGTTATCAACTGTCTGATTTACTACAATACCGCATTTGATGTTTGAATTTTCGAAGCAGTGTACTGTAACATGTTACATCCTGTAAGACTTGAGGTTCTCACAGCGGTGAGTATGAATATATCCGTCTTCTGGGTTGTTGCGCTGTGTAGATCCTGTTTGCAGTGCTGTATTTTACTATATTTTGTCATAATGAATTGTACTTACTCATATTAAAATTTCTATCAAAGTGTGTGACACGGTGTCTGACTTCATATGCTTCAAAATATGGCTCCACATAAGTGATCTGAATATACGCTTTCTCTGGGTCAAGGCTGCTTATGTCCACGGCATTGGAATCCTTGATGACGATGATGTTTTCTGTTTCAAATCTTTCAGCATAGAAGTTCTGAAAGCAGAATACTAAAAAATTCATCTCATCTTTATTATATCTTATTTAACATTCATACTCTTAACCATGGCATTAAATTGATATTACAAGTTAGAATAGAGATGTCAGTCTGTGAAGAAAATTTTATGGATTGTAAAACTGTGTGATTCAGGCAAGATGAAACTGTTTTTTTCTGCAACACTCACTTGCACAAACAACTGAACTGGTCACCGGCTAACCCACAAGTCCAGAAAACCCACTTTTGAAAATAACAACAACAAAAATGCAGGTAAACACACTATTGTATGCTTGATTTAATTTTCCCCAAGAATATCAGGCAAGTATGAACTCTTTGATGCAATTATAGTTCACTATAATATCTTTTGCACCCAGAGTTACAAGCCAAAGTTATTTCTGGACTTGTGTTCTTTTTACACTGCATGACTCTTGTGGTTACGAATACTCTGTCACTGCAGGGATGACCTATTTACGTCACTGTGGGTTTAAATGGTTTCTCTATGGCCAAAACTAAAAGGTAGTAATAAAATACCATGAATCCAAGACTCATGTCATTTTGCTACAAAACAGACCACAGATAAGGACACTCATGTGCAGTACGGGCTCAGATTGATGTGATTCTTGAGGTGTAATTTATTTTCCACTGGTTATTGGTTGGCAGCAACACCTCAGTTCTCTCTGAAAGTGGACTAACAAGATTTTGCCCACCCCTTCCCTTTCAATCAATCCTGCAGATTTATGGTTCTTGGTAACAATAATGACTTCCAGATGCAGCAGAACCACAGAAAACATCAGGATTTATCGCCTCCAGAATACAGGTAGCCCTCGATTTAGGCCCGGGATGCGTTCCTGGACGATCCGGCGTAAATTGAAACTCTTCTATAATGTAAATCAATGGGAAGTCAGTGACATGCATTCCCAGCACCCAAACATTGATGAGTAATATAATGTCAGTACATTTAAAGCTCTGAAATAACGAAAATAAAATAAAGGGAATTTAAAAAATATATTCGTTGGTCCCTGCGATTGACTGCGATTCTTTCATATGATTGATGTGTACAGTCATCTCTGTTGTTATGTGATAGTTGCATTCATGTAAGACACCGACCTATATAAAATCGCGTAGTAAAAATAACCCCGGTACCTCCACAGAGATTAAATTAGTCCTTTGAAAGTTTAAAGCGCCAGGAATGAAATTTCATAAGAGCGAACTCACATATGCAAAAGTTTGCATTTCACAAACAGCTTTTACCGATTCATCGATCTCATTGGAGCAAATTCGCGTTAACGAAACGTACGTAATTGCAGAGATGACTATATTTATAATTTTTATTCAAAATCAGCGATGTAAGAATTACGATTTAGTATAACAATCAGTACGAGATACATTGTAAAATGTTATAAATAATAGTAAAATATATTTTTTCCACTTTTTCACTTGCTGGTTTCAAAATCGGCATTATTCTGAGACGGCGCAAATCGAGGGTTACCTGTATTTATTACCTACTGTTCTTGTGTAAGCACTCACCTTACAGTGCATGATGACTCCTCAGATCCTTACTGGGCATGGCATGGCAACTACCAACTTAAAATCTTTCTTAGAAATTTTCAGTACCATCTGATAACACATTTACATCAACACTACTGTACGCTGCAGCCCACACTTATAATGTCAGACAAGTCAAAGTTAACAGTCCCAAATCTTTAGTTACCAACCTCCAAACGACTGAAAATTTCTGGAAGTTTAGTGAGGGTAGGCTCCTTATAGATGAATTCTTCTCCATTTAAATCTCCAAACTTTGATCCATAGAAACCAACACGAAAATAAGTGCCAAAAACTCTCTTGCCTTGTAACTGTTCCACCCTAGTGAATGCTTCCTGTAACTTCCTGAAATACAAAACCTATCGATTAATGACGTTAAGGTTAGGAAATGTTTGAGACATGAGTGGCAAGTGCATGAATAAAATTGAAGATCTCTTGTTAAACCTTCTTGTTCTGGTTTGTCAATAAATTATAACTGTGCTCCTACCAAAAACCACCAGAGCTGTTCTGTCAACACAACTTTCAACTGCCAGTTCATTTTCATTCACGAATCATAATACGAGGGTGTTTCAAAAAGTAACAGCAAATTAAATATTTTGAGATATATAATTTAATTAGAGATACAAATCATATGTCATTTTTCCGCATAATCACCCTCCTTTTCAATACACTTCTCACACCGTTGCACCAACTTCTTTATTCCATCAGAAAAAAATGTTTTTGGTTGTGCCTTCAGCCAGGAATGCACCACTTCTTTGACTTCGTCGTCATTCCCAAATCTTCGCCCTCTCAAAGCTTCCTTCAGGGGTCCAAACACAAGATAATCAGAGGGAGCAAGGTCAGGGTTGTATGGGGGATGCTGTAAGATCTGAAATCTCAATCTCCGAATGGTGTCAAGAGTTGCAGCAGCCGTGTGAGGGCGTGCGTTATCATGAAGGAGGAGAAGAACGCCTTTAGACAAAAGTCCTCTGTGACAGCTCCTCCTCCAAAAGTGCGCTGTATCGGGCACTATTCACTGTTTCACCCTTTTTCTGATACTGTTTCACGAATAATGGCATCGGCGCGACTCATCTTCTCATCAGTGACGGCTGTGCTGGGATGACCGGAGCGTTGGTCATCACGGATTGATGTTCGCCCATTTTTAAACGCATCTACCCACTCGTACACTCTTCTCTCGCCAATGCAGCATTCTTCTATGAATTTCACGAGGTTTCACACCCTCCGACCACAAAAATCTGATGATTGCTCGCTGCTCCTCTACGGTGCAAACAGCTAAGGGCGCCGCCATTTCGTATATGCATCCCTTCCAATTAAGTACGCCACGCCATTTATTGGGCGGTGTCAAAACCTTCTCTAAGAATATATCTTCCCTGTGCGGGAGTTTGAAATGGCTGGGGTATTCGTTTTGTGAAATATTGTCAATTTGCTGTTACTTTTTGAAACGCCCTCGTACTTTAATAAGGTTTTGTGATTTTTTAACATAAAATAATGAATGAAGATGGATGTCTTCTGCAGTAGTTTACCATCATTTCAGAAGTGCCTGCTGCCTCCATCTACAAGAATTATGTTAGAATCAAAATAATTTGAGAAACATTTCTAGTATAAAAACAACTGTAACTGAAATGTGGTGTTTCTCAAGATGTGCAACAAAGCATGTGGTTTCTTTATTTCTCAGACAGACTAAATTTAACAAACATTTCAGTCCATACATGTGTAACATGAAGATGTAATAATTAACGTTGTTTTACACCATAAAATTTTCATACATTAGCTTCGCCATTAAAAGATACAAATATGATAACTCACACAAACACTTTCCTTTCAAACCCTGAGTAAACAATTATGTACTGAAACTGAGAAGTATGATTAGAGATGGTGAAGACAGAGTGAACTTTGCTGACCTGTCAACAGATTTTAGACAACAGCATTTCTTAGTTGGATTTGTGTTGAGTGACCTTGCTGCAGTGTTGGATATTCAGTGAGTTTCATATTTAATAATACTTGCAGAGATAGTAACAGACAATCAAACCAGAAATTACTTAATAGATATGAAGCTCTTGTGGTGACTGAAACAAAAGGCAACTGTGGACACAGTCAGTCAGTCGTCACAGTCCATACCACTTGACCTGTCATTGAACTGTAATTTTCTATGGCCTACTTTGTCACAGTATGTTTGACCTTACACCCTGTCTCAATGCTAAAGCCGATCTGCCCAACATGTGCCTTACCACAGACAAACAGGATGCAGTACTGTGCCTCGGACGAGGCCTAGCTCATCTTTAACTGGCTGCAACACTTGCAATGATTATGGGTGGGGACCAATAGGAGGGCTTGGGCATGTCGTGGGGCAGTATGACCTCTGAAATGTTAGTGGACATCTACCATACTACACGGCGTAACAATCCAGAAGACAGCAATCTTCATACTCACCACTGTGAAAACATTTTAAACCTTCATCAATAAATAAACTGAATGACAGGTATAATATAACAGATTAGGACTTAAGAATCTCCATCTTGATTCATAATATTAGTCAGGATATAAAAACACATACACATAACCAGTCCCTGATAATTAACTCAAGAAGTCAAAGTTATTACTTACCCATGTATGTTTGCAAGTTTCTTATAATCCTTATTTGCTTCTGTTATTGGTATTAGTATTGAGTAAACATCATTTATTGCTTCATACATCCCAGCCTGGAAACAAAATAAAATACTAAATTTACCAAACAAGTGAAGTCCAACAGAAATCCAATTAAATTACGTAAATTATCACAGAACAATGCTCAACAGACGCAAGCCCAGTGGATGGCTAATGACAGAACTTGGCATCACAGTTATATTTCAAAGTTTAAGAAATCCACTATGCAGTAGAAGAACATATCATAGAGACATTAATGATTCAATGACCAGGGATTACGTAATTTTTAATAAGTTTCACATCTGAAGAAATGTTGCTAACTCCAGTCAGACACTGAAGAAAATGAAGCTACATACAATTGGTCCGGAGAATTATATGATCTCAAACTCGGTGACTGAATAGGACGCATGTTGAATGTTCACAATGACAATGTGGTGGTCAAATACATGACAAATAATCACCATTAGGCATGTTTCTACTCAGCATCTCACAAAATATTTGGCTGCAACTGAAAAAGTATGGCTTATAATTAATATTTAGCTACAGCAAGTAAAATCAATTACACTGTCGATTTTTTAATGTTAAGTATAGAGAAGATGTCACATACGAGGTGCGATCGGAAAGTTTCAAGACTGTGTCAGTAGAGGGCGAACCGGATATAGTACGAGCTTCTGCCGCTAGGGGGTGCGGCCTACATTCATAGTGAATCAGTGTGCCAGCCGGCATCATCGAATTAGCATTTGTTTCTTAGTTACGGGCGGTTTGGTAGTGCATTACACCGGTTCTGGACGACCATCTTCGAGCACAACGCCCGAAAATGTTACGAAGATCGACGTCGTACCATCAACGACTTGTGCGACATTGTTGGGATAGGCTATGGGACCTGTCAGCTGATTCTAAAGGAAGAACTCCCCATGCGACGCATCATGACAACGCGCCAGCGCACACCGCCCTCAAAGTTCGGCAGTTTTTGGCCTCAAACACCATGGCCGTCATCCCGCACCCTCCTTATTCGTCGGATTTAGCTCCGTGTGACTTCTTCCTCTTCTCAAAGATGAAAATTCAGCTAAAGGGATGGAGATTTGAGACGATAGAAGAGATTGAGGCAGAATCGCAGATGGTGCTTGACAGGCTGACAAAGAAAGATTTCCCGGGATGCTTCCAGGCTTGGCAGCGGCGCTGGGATCGTTGTGTTCACTCCCAGGGGAACTACTTCGAGGGTGATGGATGAATTTAATACCTGAGATAAGTGTACGGGTTTTTATAGGCGCAGTCTTGAAACTTTCCGATCGCACGTCGTAAAATGAGGGATTTTCCTGTTTTCAGTTGGTTTACTTTAGAACTCTATTCTCACTTCTGATACTGGAATAATGTCACAAACAACTTCCAATGCACCTCAGAAGACACTCACTGTGTGAAGTGAACGGGCTGCCTGCTCTAGCAGTCCTATAAGACCACTCTCTGTAAAATCCTTGCCAAGACACACGCCCTCCTCCTCCGGACTTAACACATCATCGGATACTGCGCTTTCTTCCAAGGCGTTTGGAGTTACTTTCTCAAACGCTACTGCTCCAATGGGCAGGTGAGGCTCATCCTCCAGCATATGCAAATATTCGGCCACAAGCGCGGCACTGTGCACAAGGCACATGGCTGCTTCTGTGTGATTATTGCGCTGCAAAGGCAAATCGCTACATCAGCGCAACATAAACACAGTTTTCTCAGGATGGATGTCATACTACAAAACCTCATCATCTACATCAACACTGTAAATGTAAGCAGCATTAGCATAAGGTTATTTTCAGTGCAATGAAAAATGATTAAAATTGTTTTTTCCCCATAAAAATCAAATCATAATTTAACCATAAGAATGTTGAAGTAAAATAACACAAGAAGAAGTTCACACAGTACTTATGATGCTTTTTTTAAATGCTTTCCAATCACACAGGCAGTCTCACACACGCAAATCATCATTCATTATGCAACATAGGGATCCATCAATGTGTAAAATCTGAATTAACCTTGATTTGTATTACTTAAAAGTTCATAGATAAAACATCAAAATTTAGTGGCATCAACACACATTTGTAATGTTTAATAAATACCATGTAAAAGTGAAGCTATGTAGGTGTATCATCCAAGACTACAGAAAATTTCACATTTGTGGCCCACAGTGGATCATCCATTACCACTATCAAACAGAAAAATTAAGCACATAACTTTCAGTCACCAAGTTATTCAAAGAAATTACTGTGGTACAGAACAAAACTAAAAATGAAAAGACAATATCAACTTTAATTTCGCATTTGTGTAAAATTAAAATAAATTAACGAATATGTTGGTAATGAAACACAATAAAGTATTCCAGTGAACCACATTTCCAAGTGTGCATCCGAAGTTAAAATGACCACAGTACAGGTAGGACTCGGTTTACGCCGCTTCAATTTACGCCTGCTTCACTTTTGCGCCTCTCGTAGATCACGATTGGAGGGGGTGATGGATGAGTCATGACTCTGCCTGACTTCCTAGACACAGATGGTCCCGACATTGTAATAAAACTATAATACAAAATGATAAACTACAAGGAGCAACATCCACCTTCAAGGCTTATTACTTACGGACAACACTCAAGGGAATATCTGAGGCTATTCAAGTGTCCGATAATGTCACGTTGAGAGGCTACTGGAAGTCATACAACATCATGAAAGGAATCTTCAACATTTCAGCTGCATGGAGTGAAGTGTCAAAGTCATCACTAACAGTGAAATCAATGCAAGACGCTGTTGCTCTTATTAATAAGGGATGCGAGATCTTGTGTAGCAACGACCCCAACTGGGAGCGGAGCTCAACCGTAGGAATTGAGATAGTTCTACAGCCATACTATAACTTATTATCAGCAAAGAAGAAAACCAAACAGATATCTATTCTATCGCTTTTTAAAGCAGTAAATTTTCTTTCTTTGTCTTAAACATTATATAATTTTAAATTTGTAAATTTCATCAAATGAAACATTTTTCAAAATCTTGGAACGGAACCTAATGTATTTACATATGTTCCATTATATTTTTGCTTCAATTTACGCTGCTTCATTTTATGCCGGAAATCTCAGGAACCTAACCCCGGCGTAAACCGAGTCCTACCTGTACTAAAATATAGTATCAGAACAGAATGTGGCCAGAATATGATTTATTGTACTTATTCAAATATGCTGGCTGCAGTGGGCAGCAAACATGGGTCTTGGCTTGTTTGGTCACGGATATGTAGGCCACTTAGGGCATGGGCATTTTTGTGCGTTTTCCATCAGCACGAACCATTCTACTCACAACTGCTATTATTCTCTTGTACAGGGGCCAGTCAGTTAACATAAGGAATTATTTCAGAACAGATTCTGGGCAGGAACAAAGATAAGATTAACAAACTCAGCAGTGCAAGTGTGTGTACGTACCTCCATATGTTTCTGAGCCATGTTTGCGAGCCACGTGAGACGAAGATCTGGAGAATTCTGATAACCCTTGGCAATTCGATACATGAGATCCATCAGCATCTCTGGGTCCTCTTGAAATTCTTTCATCTTAACTGTGTCTGACAGTATCATATGCAAATTAAATACAAGATCTTTGACCTGGCAGACAAAAGTAATATTCAAGTGAGACATTTATCTTCCTATGAAAAAAGTAACTGAACTGCATAAATACTGAACGCTTCTCCACTGCATTAAAGAACTAAAATATTCCTCGTCAGTTTAATAACATTAAGAAATATGGATGTTTCCTTATGAAAACGAGTGGACAAAAAGTCCCATGCAGTGAACAGGAAGCCCATATCACATTTTGACATCTGTTACTGATTTTTTGTAGATTATTTACAAAGTTGTACCAACTACAGAGGTACTTGAATTTTTACTGAAATACACTGACAGTAAAAAGTGGCAAGTTTTATTAGTTTTAATTTGTATAAACACTTCTGTCTGTAAACATTCCAAAAATGTTTTTTAATAAATTTATACTCTTGAATTTACAATGTATGTATATATTTTGTGCGTGGTTTTTGTAATTATTTTTCATTAATATGCATCTGTTACAAAAAGACTGTGTCATGATGCACTCCAGTAACTGTCTGAGTAGGAGCGAGGCAGAATCTCCTGCAGTGTTGGCACACTCAGCTTCTTTGACAAGATTTAAACCTGGTCAACTTCCGAGTACACATCAGATATACCACGTATTCAGTTCACGCGTCAGATGAGAGCCACAAAACTGCAGGAAAATTTGCCCAGCTAATGACCTGATCATAAGACTTCAAAGTTACAGTGCACTTTACGAGTTTCCTGAATATGAAGAGAAAGTGTTAACACCTGCTCTGGAAATGTGGTGTCTTGCAGCTCTGCGTCTTTCTCCGCGTACACTAGGATTGTCTTCAGTGATCGCCGTAGAGACTCTTCGCTGAACGTCGAACTTGTGCCAACTAATGAACTCAATGACATTGTGACCTGCATCTTTACTCTTGCAAAATTCTGAAAAGTGACAACACGTAATATTTACAATTAACCAAAAAATGTACAAAATAATATATGAGCATGAACACATTAATCTGTATTCATGTAACAGTGTTTTACAAGTAACAGACATTTCAAAATTTCAGATTAAAAATAATGTACAATTTTTGCAACAAAACCCAATTTATCTATTTCTTGTTGCACAAATCTCAAAAAGAAGACGGTCCAGTCAGTGCAAAGTGAAACCACACTCTGGATACACTACAGACATGAAAGTGAAAACCAGAGCAAAGTACGACGTTGAGGCAGCGCAACATAAAGAACAAATCCTCTATTATGACGTAGTATACAAGGGATACATTACTTTGCGTTACTTTCAACATATCTCTAACAAAAGGTTTTGACATTTAAATGTTTTAAACTGCTAATGTTGATAACTGGTTTTTAACAGGTAATGTTTTGACACGTCAACTGTATCTGCAATACTAAACTACACCAAAGATGATATGAACCAAATATATAGGTACTGAATATTGAAGTAGGTCTTGTGAGGATGGAAATGCATTTGTTTGTTAGTCAAATTAGCAGTGTATAAAGGTAGTTAGTTTATGTAATGCAAACTGCACATCATGAAACATCTTCAGAACAAATCACAAGTTAAAAGAACTGAGGCCAGGCTGGAAAGACTGGACTCTGAATTCACATCCAACTGATCCATGAAATACAAATAAAAATAAACATTAGACTATAATTATACTGTACAAACGACATGTCAACACAATACGTACATTGCCAATCTCAAAGTTCTGTCTCATGAGAAGATACAGTGAGGCTGAGGCCTGTGAACGGACATTGCTCATACTGGAGCTGCAGTGCTTGAGAAGACGCAGGCACAAATCTGCGCACTGTTCAGTTTCTTCATCAAACAACAGATTTGGAAACTGTAAAGAGAAATATCACATTTCACATACCTAATACAGGTGAAAACATTTTTCAGCACTAAAATAAACAACCTACCTTGAAGACAAGAGAACGCTGAGTGGCAAACATGTTCTGGAGCACACACGTGCTTTGGTTTCGCCCTAGTGCATGCAGTAACACTTTAAGAACGACCCCCAGTAAACTCTGCAAGTTGTCTAGCTGAGATGCGACCTGTAATACAAAGTAAAGTTCAAATGCTTGTCCTCTCATTAAGCACATGCACACAAAAACAGCTGTGGTGCTTCGATCCAAGCTTCATGTTTCCTTAGTAATAAAAACTGTGAATACGTATTTGACTGTCTTTAGGCCTACTGTTATCAAAGTTCATGGCACTCAAATAGGAACACAACAGCAGTATTAGAACATGATAATAAATTTACGAGGCGCGTCCTCAAAGTAAGTTTCCCACTCGTCCCACAGCTAGCAAACCTTATATTGCGCGAAGCGACTGTGCGTACGTGATAGAGCAATGACGTAGCATGGCGCATGCACTAACGG